GATCACTGACCATGTTCATTTAGAGCAGGCTGGCTTGGGTGAGGGCAGGAGAGGGTTACGGAAGGGCAGAATGGACCTGTTCTGCTAGCGATGGAGCTAGGAGCTGGGCAGAGAGCCGGGCTGATCCTTAAAATGGCCAGGTTCATAAGTGAACTCTTGCAAAGTGCAGGATGAATCTGACATCCATACACAGGAGGAAGGGTAACTTCTGTTGAGCGGGTCCAATTCCCTTTACAAGTCCCCCCTTTCTCTTCTTGGGGTGCAGCACGACCTTGGGATAAATGGATAAGAAAGCTACAGGTTTGATCATTAGATGGGAGTTTGCGGCAAGAGAGTGGAAAAGAAAACTGCTTACTTACTTCCAGCTCCAAAAGCAAGCTGGCAGGAGTTAAACGGGGATGTTTTAAGGCTTCCTGCAAACTGCCAGGACCGGAAAGTTACATCCCCCGTGTGTTCAGACCCAGGGACCAGATGAATCTCAGGCCCTGAAACGGCAATGAGCTAGGCAGTCCACTTTCTTCCTAAGTTATGATATCAGACTCGGAAACGGGGAGTTCTGGGGACCAAGAGGAGGCAGGCATCTGCCTCCTGCATAATTGGCTACATCAGTCTCAAAGTACATCCATGGCCCATCCCTTTGGGCATCATGCTGTGCCTGGCACGAGCTAGTAATCGCGATCCCGTCCAGGCTCTCCAGAGTTTACAACTTTAAGTCACACAATAATGACACAGATCCCAAAGGCAGCCAGTTAACAAATACATCCACTTGTCCGCCAATCACAAGGGATCCATTGAGTGAGCCACAGAGACAAACAGGGACCCCTTCAAAGAGCTTCCAATCGGGTGGGTAAATAGGTAAGACTGAGAACTCGCGAGAAGTCCACGTACGGAAACGCAAGTCAATCTGGGCATCAACAGAACAGAGTTTTTGGTTAAGTGCTTACTGGCATGTGGTTTTGGGTCAACTCCACGGCAGGCTGACGCTTTAATTTCAGTCCTCTGGAGGGGCGGGGGGGGGGGCAGGGAAAGGCAAAGGGCCAAAGACAATATCGCCCAGCGCTGCAAGGTAGTGGGGACACCTGGCTGGGAGACGGGGGTCCAGAGGCGCTCTGCGTGGGTTCCCCATTTCTACCGGGGTGGCCCTCGCCTCTCTGGGCCTCTCAGGTCTGCAGCTAAGGTTCCTCGCGGCATTTTCAGGACCACCCTTCGCCCCCGTCCCGCTAGGCGCGCTCGTCTGCGGCGCGCGGCGCGCTGGCGGCCCAGGTTTGAGGTGGGACCGGGCTCCGGGGTCAAGTGTTCCGGAGCGTCTAGCCAACAGCGTCTCCCCAGGATCGCCCGGGCCGGCCTGGGCTGCGGGAGGCTCCGCGATCGGCCCGCGCCCCGAACACTTCCGACGGGCGCCCGCGTTCCCCGGGAGGCGTCCGAGAGCTCAGCCGGGTGCGAGCGCTGGGAGCCGGCTTCGCGCTCCGGAGGTGCGGGTGGCCGCGGGGTGCCGCCGGGCGGCTGCAGGGCCTGGGTGAGCGAGAGCGAAGCGGGGCGGAGGGGGTGCGTGTGCGGGGAAATGGAAGGGGGGGTTGCGCGGGAGCGCGAGCCGCTGGCCGCGGGAAGGGTGGGTCGGGGAACGCCGGCGGCGGCGGGAGGAGCGAGTCGGAACCGGGAGGTCGAGCGGGCTGGCGGGGCCGGAGCCGCGGGGGGCGGAGCGCCGAGGGCGGAGATGGGGCCTGGGCAGGGAGGGGGCCGGCGGGGCGCGGCCGGGGGGCGGGGCGCTGGGGCCGGGGCTTGATAAGAGCGGGTGTGGGGGGGGGGGAGCGGGGGCGGGAGCGAGGGAGGGGCGGGGGACTTAGAGACCAAAGAGGAGACAAAAGGACGGGGTGGGTGGGAGGGGCATCGACAAGCGGGGGTAGGGGAGGGGCGCCGGGGGACGCCCGGGGAGGGAGGGGTCTGTGTGTGTGTGGGGAGGGGGGGGCCTGCTGTGGGCGGGGCTTAGAGAGGGACGTGAAGGGACAACATAAGAAGGGAGCGCGGGGTTCTGGAGAAAGCGGGGGTGCTCTGGCACGCCGGGCCACGGAGGAGCGGCCACACACCGGGAGGGGGGTCCTGGGGATGGACGGCCCGCGGGCCAGGGGCCAAGGGCTTCTGCGGGCTCGGGAGGGGAAGGGTGAGCAGGCTCGGGGAAAGGGAGAGTTGCGCGAAGCGAGGGTGGAGGCGGATGGGCGTGTGCGGAGCACTGAGGGCTGGGCTTTCACGCTGTTTCCAGGGATGACCGAAAGACCCCGGGGCGGGCGGGGGGACTGCACAGACGGGACGGGGCTCCCAAGCAGCAGGCAAACTGCCCAGGAGAAGGTGGCACCTAAGAGGGCAGGAGAAGGGTGGCGTGGGTAGCCTCGGGCTCGGCAGGAAGGCGCCACCACCGCCCTCTGCCCGTCCCCAACGTGCCCCGCCCCGTCCGGGGGCCCTAAGGGCAGCGGCCTGCGCCTTAGGGGATCCTAGCCAGGGCGGTACCATTCGGCACTGAGAGGGGGGCTTGGGGGGGAGAGGGAGGAGCCAGGGGTCAGAACCTCGTTGGGGGCGGGAGGGGGGGCGCGCCACACCCTGGGAAAAAGGCTTGGGCACATCCAGAACGGACCAATCAGCGAGCAAGGCCAGGGTGGCGTCAAGGGGCAGCTTCGGCCAATGGGAAGGGAGAACACTTCGGAGGTTCGGAGGAAGAAAAGAAAAAAAAAGCCCCACGAAACAACAATCGAATCCGTTTGGGGGCTTGGGAGGCTGGCAGTGGGCGTCGTTTATAGCACGTTCTGGGGCTTGCCCTCCCCCGTAAAGGATGGGGTCGCTTGCATCACTCCCGGGCAACTCCTGGGGAGCACACGGAGCTGAGGGAGGGTCCCGGGAAAGTAGACAGGGATTGGCCGTTTACTGGGGGGGCACTCGATCGGACGCTTCAATGCGGGTGGGGTGGGGTGACAGCTTTGTGCTCTAGCGAAAAAGGTTGTGGTCTCAAAGGGAGGTGAGAGTGGGCAAGGGTCCTCCGTTCGCCCGCACTGGCTACCGACTTAAGTGCCCAGCAGCAAGTGGATCTCCGCTCAACTCCAGCCAATGGGGAACTTTAAAATGCCCCTTGGGCTCCGAACACCATCAAAGTGCTCATTTCCTTCCTCAGCCGAGGGCTGCGTCTTGACGGCAGTCGGGGCTAACAGCAACCACTGGAGATTTCAAAGAAATTTATGGTGTGGTCTGATTTTGGAGTTAGCTCAGCCACTAATTTAAAGTGTGACACCGGACAGTTACATGATTATCCTCAGAACTCCCTCCCCTAATATAAAGGGCGTTTATTTCAACTAGTGACTTTGAGATGTAAACATTTTGAGCTTACCTGGAGATCGGGGTACTTGAGAAAGGACCCTGGTGGAGTGCGTGTGTATCTGTGTGTAGAGGAGCGTACTGTGAAAGAAAGCAGGTGGATGGGGCTGCAGCAAAATAGTATATAGGGTCAGGCACTTGCCTTGCACATGGCCAACCTGGGTTTGATCCCCAGCAGGTGTCCCATATGGTTCCCCAAGCACAGAAGTAATTCCTGAGTGCAGAGCCAGGAGTTAACCCAAAGAATCACCAAGTGTGACCAGAAAACAGAGAAAGAGAACAGGTGGAGTGGCGAGAGGTCTTTTGACCCATATATTCCAAATAATTGTAAAGCTCCTGGAAACTACGTAGTGTGGGGTGCATTTTTCTGAGCTAATGAGCTTTTCACCCAAGTCTGTGTAGTGGGGTATGTGACACACAAAAAAGAAGTCCTTGTCTTAGTTTAATGATCGGGATCCCATCTCTAAGGAAATGAAGCACATTTGTGCCTTTGGAATGGGAATCTCAGCTGTAGGGGCTCTTCCCAGTGTGTCTTATCCAAGGAAAGACAAGTTCCTTAGCGCTGAGAAGCCCATGTGAGCTGCCAGATAGTAAAGTCTTTTTTTTTTGCTTTTTGGGTCACACCTAGCAATGCATAGGGGTTACTCCTGGCTCTGCACTCAGGAATTGCCCCTGGCAGTGCTCCGGAGACCATATGGGATGCTGGGAATAGAACCCGGGTTGGCTGCGTGCAAGGCAAATGCCCTACCCGCTGTGCTATTGCTCCAGCCCCGCAAAGTAATTCTTGAATAAGCTATAATGAATGGCGAGTTGATCCGATGTTAGGAAGCAGGGAAACTAGGCTTTACTTCTTAAAGCTCATCTACCTCATCTGTAAATTAAGGGGAAAAATCTCACAATCTTAAGAAAATTAAGTGCTAGCCACTTTTTATTTTTGGTTTTCGGAGCACACCCAGCAGTGCTTCAGGGCTTACTGCTGGCTCAGGGATCACTACTGGCAAGGTGGGGGGGTGGGTATATAGGGTGTTGAGGATGGAACCAGGTCAGCCATGTGCAAGGCAAGTGCCCTATGTGCTCCAGCAGCAACTAGTTACTTTAGATGGCATCCCTTGTGGTGTGAGAGGCTCCAACTTGCAAAAGTGATTATGGGGCTGGAGACGTAGGACAGTGGGCTGACCTGGACTCAATTCCATATGGTCTCCTGAGCCCCACCAGGAGTGACCTAAGCAGAAGAAAGCCCAGAACACAGTCGCGTGTAGCCCCCGAATCAAAGGAATAAAAAAAGAAAAATGATAGTGCTTAAACTTTGGCCTGAACTTAGCTTTAGCATGAGCCGAAAGCAGAATCTGATCATGAAGGTTCTTTCTAGGTTCACAGGTTAAAACTAAACAATGCTTGATCACCATTTCTGGCCCTTTAAATGGGTTGTTTCGTGCAGCTCATATCTGATGTGATGTATTTAAGATCATAGGCTAGATGAATTTCTCTCCACTCTTGAGCAGTATCTACATCATCCTTGGTAAGAAAATGAGGTTCCCTTGACAGGCCTGGAGTAATGCAACAGGGTAAACCCAAGCATACCTCGCCAGACTCAAAGAGAATGATTCAATTGGGAGACAACATAGTAGACATTGCAGGTAAAATGCTTTTTTATTAACAAATGTGGTTTAACTACTCCCATTGTGCTCAGCCTGTTTTCAAACTGATCCCGCAGCCTGGAATAAAACTGGGCCACAGCTCGGCTGGTATTGCAGGTACTGGCACCACGATGTCACTCCTCTTACCGAGAGTTTTTCTGCAGCAATTTTTTGTGACGCGAGGTGAGTCGCTCTGGATTCCTCTGTACCACAGAGAGGTCCGACCTTGAGGAAGACCTGTGACCCACATCCTCTGCTTTTATAGGTTTAATGATATGGCCTGGCTTGGTGACAACCTTGGGTGTAGTCAGTTTTTGGAAGGCCCTCTGGGTGTTCCATGTTGATCCTATAGGAGTCTGGATTGTTCTTTCAAATTGCTGATGGTGGGTGAATGGACGGGGAAGCTCTTGGACCTGGAAAAGAAGGCAGGGTGAACTTGACTTGAGGCAGGCCTGGCGTGCAGCTGTCCACTCATGGTACATGGGTGGAAGATCTCCACGATGACTGTAGCCAGCGATGATACTGAGGCCAAGGAATCCCAATGCCCCATCTGCCCTTGAGAGTCATAATCTGCTTGAGGGAATTTTTGTGGTACACCGTTATAAAAACTCCAGGGCTGTAAATGGCTTTCCCAACATGACTACAAGAAATGTCAAGGTATACCTAAGTGTTCCCTTGAATATTTCCGAAGAATACTTACTAGTTGTAACTCCCTACATTTTTTTTTGTTTTGGGGCCACATTCAGCAATGCTCAGGGGTTACTCCTGGCTCTGAGCTCAGGAATTACTCCTGGCAGTGCTCAGGGAATCATATGGGATACCAGGGATTGAATCTGGGTAGAGCACATGCTAAAACAAATACCCCACTCACTATATTATCTCTTTAGCCCTTCTTCCATTTTTTTAGCTGAAGCTCCACCCCCCTTTTTAGTCATTGGGAAAATGAAGATTTGGAGGGAGTTCTTTTGGGCCACACCTAGTAATGCTCAGGGGCTGTTCTGGACTCTGTGCTTGGTGGTTCTCCCAGGATTGAACCTAACCTCTGCACTCAGCAAGCTCTCCCGCCTTTAAAGGTAAACTTAAATGTCTGAAGGTAGCACAGTGATAGATTAGCACTGTAGCACTGTTCTCCCGTTGTTCATCGATTTGCTCGAGTGGGCCCAGTAACGTCTCCATTGTGAAACTTCTTGTTACTGTATTTGGCATATAGAATACACCACGGGGAGCTTGCCAGGCTTTGCCGTGCAGGCGAGATACTCTCGGTAGCTTGCCGGGCTCTCCAAGAGGGGCGGAAGAATCGAACTCGGGTTGACCATGTCGGCCATGTGCAAGGCAAATGCCCTACCTGTTGTACTATCGCTTCAGCCCACAGTCATAGATCGGAGAAGAGAAACAGGTTCACGTCCCAGCTCCTACTTCATTTATCACTTCCCCACTCCAAGTCAAACCCCAGGGCTATGACAGGAACTGGGGGCTCCCAGCTCTGACAATCTGTATTGCCCAAAAGGGGTGCAGCTAATGAAGTGTAACAATCTGGTAATCTGGTAGAGTTAAGGATTTAGGGAGAGATCGCGAAGTTCCTACATATACCAATCCCAGAGACGAGAGAGAGAGAGAGAGAGAGAGAGAGAGAGAGAGAGAGAGAGAGAGAGAGAGAGAGAGTGTGTATAGGGGTTAAGGCACTTGCTTTGCTTGCCACTGACCCCGGCTTAATCCCTAGCACTGCCTATGGTCCACCAACTACTGCCGGCGCTCACTCCTGAGCACAGACTGGTGTGGCCCCAAGCCCCTGCTGAAAACATATCCGTCATAGGGGTCAAGGAGAAGAATGAGGGATAAAGAGCATATAGAAGGTGGAGGGATGCTAATAAAAGTTCACCAGGGTTAAGGCCCTTACCTTGCGTGCAGCCAACCCAGGTTGGCTCCCCGGCACAATTATGGCCCCCGACTACCACCATGCATGTTTCCTGAGCACTGAGTCAGGAGTAAGTCCTGAGAACCACTAGGTATGGCCCCAAAACCTACACAAAAATCTATATCAGAAGTTCTTTGGGGTGCCAGCTGAAAATGAAGATGTAGGGACCTTGCCCCTGTTGCAAAGATTATTCTTGAAGCATCAACCTTCTTCCTGGTCAGTAATTAAAATAGTGGCGTCAAGCCAAATCGTTCATTTTAGCATAAGCAAGAGGAGGGTTGACTCCGTGATCAAGATCCCACATCCCTCTTGACCACAGATCGATCTAGAATATTCCTTCTGAGCAAGAGAGCTAGGTAGCAATGAGGAGGCCACTGCAAAGCGCAGTGTTCCTTACCTGATGTGCCGCGGCATGGATGTTTCGCTTCTCATTGATGATCACATTTGGCAAATGTTTGTCTTTCCTTGGAGGACCCTCAGGGGCTTTAATGAGAAACCTGGAAACAAGAGCAGGATGTTTGAGCAAGATCGTTAAGGACAGACTCAAAAGGCAAGGAGGACCATGGAGGGGGTAAGATGTGAGAGCACGTTACTATTCTCTCAGGCTTTCTCTCCTGTTCTTACCGGCGTCTCTTCTTGGCACTGGGCATCAAGCCCCCGCCACCCCACTCGCCCCAACCAGGCAGAGTCAGATCCAGGTCTTTAGGTTTACTGGCCTCCTCGGCTTCCCTCTTTTCTTTCAAGAAATCTCTGATGACGTCATCGCCAGCAAAGGCTTCCTTGGTCATCTGCTTCTGAGCCCGCTCCTCTTCATCTTCATCTTCCTAGGAGGAAACAGGAGAGAAAGCTCCAGCTTGCCTGCAGAGCCCTGGTTCCTGGCAAGAACACTCAACTTTTGGGTCATGACATTTTAGCGCCCTCTAGGGGGAAGTGTGGAACAATGATGGTTTTGCAATACACACCGATGGGCAGCCAATCACGCTCCAATTTCGTCTCTCTGGGGTAGCTATAGCCCCAGCTCATTACCATATGACACAATTTTAAACTTTCAGTGAGGAAGCTGCAGGGGAGAGGAAGGAATGGCCTGTGTTCGAAGGTGGCGCTCCAAGTGGCCCGAGTAATTTCCATGACTTCATCAGGGAGCCCTGAACCATCAGCGACCCCACAGAGTAGAGCAAAAGTTTGGCAAGATTTCCATAATGACTTACCATCAAGCTGCCCTGGCCTGGGAACAGGGTAGAGCTTTGTGATTCCCTCTCTCCTCTGAGGGCCATTTTAGGGTCACTCCCACGGAGGGTTGGATGGTTCAGGATTTAGGCTGTAACTGCCTCAGCAGCAATGAATATATTTGCATCTGTTAAACCATCACCAGCAGCAGCCCAGCCCCAGAAAACTCCGGACCTCTCAACTACTTACATGTGCCTTCTTTGCACACCCTGCTTCAACTCCTCGTGCCCAACAGGGACACTTTTGGACCAGTCCCCAAAGGCCTAAGCTCTTGGCTTTGCTTACCATTTCCTTTACCGTCGTGGGGACTGCCAATGACTTCACGGAAGGAGATTTTGTGGTTAGGAGCTTCTGCAGATCAATCATCTGTTCCTTCCCTGTCTTCTTGGGGGCCTCAGGCTGCGTTCTTGGGCTCTTCTTCCTCTGCTGCCCTTCTGACATTGGTCCAGGATGCTCTCTGCTTTGCACAGCCCCTTCTTGGCTCAGCTTTTCTATCTCCTCCACAGTCTGAGCTCTTTCTGGCCTCTGCAGCAACAGGGCCTCCTCTTCCTCTTCTTCGGCAGGTGCCTGGCTCTGGGCTACTACAACCGTTTCCTCTGAACTCTCTTTTGGCTTCTTGGCATGCTGCTTGCCCTTGTTGAGTTTCTTAGACAGTGCCTTTAATTCAGATAGCACCTCCTGGCTGCTAGAATCTGAGCAAACGAAAGCCATCAGCAAAGGAGGCTGGGGGGTGGGAGTGGACTGCTGGCGAAGGGGGCCTTTTTTCACTGAGTGTACTCAACAGTGAGCACTGGCTGAGCTCCTACTGCGTGCAAAGGTGCAGAGGCAGTCCATGGAGGACAAATGGATAAAAGAAGCTTCCACTTTCTGATCTCCTGGGGAGCTCACACATCATGATCTGGCAACTGGCAGGCAATGGAGTTTAGTGGTTACAAAAGCAGCAGGTTGGAAAACATATGTCCCAGGTTCTATTCTCAGCTCTGCCAATGAATCACAGTTTAGCCGAAACGGTGGCTTCCCCTCTCTCTGTACAGTAAGTCTTACTTGGGGTGGTTGCCCCCAAATCCCCAATTAAAAAATTTGAGGGGCGAACCCTGTAGTGTTTAGGGGTTACTCATAGCTTAGTGCTTAATTCTGGCCATGTTTAGGGGACCACTGACTGAGGAATCAAACCTGGGCTTCCTACAGTGCACACAAAAGAGGTAAACTAGGATCAGAGAGATAGAACAATGGGTAAGGTGATTTGCCTCGCACGTGGCTGAACCAGGTGTGATCTCTGGCATCCTATAATAAGGTCCCCCAAGCACTGCCAGGAGTGATGTCTGAGCACAGAGCCAGGAGTAACCCCTGAACACTGCTGGGCATGATCTCAAAACAAAACAAATATGCATACTAGCCCTATGAGCTATCTCTCTCACCCTTTCCTTTTCCTTTAAGGGCACTGCCTATTGTGCTTAGCCCGGTGATGCTCAGGAGCCTTGCAGTGCCAGGGATCAGATCAGGATCTCAAGCCTGAGAGGAGTGATCACTGAGCACAAAGTCAGGTGTAATCCCTAAATACTACTAGCTGTGGCTCAACCCCCCTCCCCAATCTATAGGGGTTGGAAGGATAGTATAGCAAGTAGGGTTCTTGGCTTGCACACGGCCAACCCAGGTTTGATCCCCAGTACTCCACATGGTTCTCTGAGCCTGCCGGGAGTTATCCTTGTGTGCAGAGCAAGGAGTAAGGCCTGAGCTCCATCAGTGTGGCCCCCAAACCAAAAACCAACAAAGACCAACAACCCCTCCCAAACCCAATAGCCAAAATCATCTTGTTTGGTAAGGCCTGGCAGCACAGTGCTGACTCCCGGCAGAATCGGGGGACCATTATGGGATGCCAGGTATTGAACCTGGGTTGACTGTGTGTAAGGCTAGTACTCTTACCTGCTATACTATTACACTAGCTCACCAAAACCTTTTAATGTATGACCTCTGGATAAAATGTCCTTGAAATTTATTACACTACATAAAAACAGACTTTCTATTTGCAGTTTGCACTGTAATTTCCTATCTGTAAAAACCTGATCCGAACTTCTTTCCTCTTAAAGCAGCATTTCATAATCTGCCATGAGGGAATCAAGGAACCTCACACTTTCTGGTCATCAGTCAACACTTGAGCGTGGAGGGACACACAGCAGTTCCACACATCTCAATTATCCTTTGGGGTCTGAGACAGCACAGAAGGGAAGGTGCTTGCTTAGTGTGCAGCCACTTTGCCTGTGACCTGATTCAATCTCTAGCACCACACATAGTTGGGTTCCCTGAATACTATCAGGGGGTCACTACAGTAGGGCCAGGAAGAGCTCCCGAGCCCAGCAAGTGTACCCCACCAACTCAATACAACGAAGTCAAACATCCTTTGCATGGATTCAAGTTGCCTCCTTGTCCAAATTCATTTACTCTCTAGCTTTTGTTTTGGGGCCACACCCAGTAGTGCTCAGGGGTTACTCCTAGCTCTGCACTCAGAATTATTCCTGGTGGTGCTCAGGGGTCCATAGGGGATGCCGGGGACAGAATCCAGGTAGGCTCCATTTGACCTATCTGTTGTACTATCAATCCAACCTGTCTCTAGCTTTGGCTTGAAGTCACTGTAATAAGTTACTCAGAGCCGGTCTTTGGGCATGTGTAGGTTTATTCTCCTTGGGTGGTGTTTCCTTGCTCATTTTATTGGGGTCCAGACCTCCCAATATTTAGGGCACAATTTTCTGAATGTTTAGGTACATTCTATTTATCCTCCAAGGACATTCAAGGACATTTTCACACCAAAACCACTGCTCTCCACAGTTAGAGGACCAGCATTTGAGAGGCTCAAGGGGATGCAGCAGGTCTGCCGAGGTCATTCAAGAGAATGCCCCCGTGATCTTGGCCTGCAGGCTGCTTCCCAAAGTTCTCTTCTTAGTGAGACTGTTCATCATTGTAAGTCACAGAACGTTTCTGCCGAGATCCCTGTGTAAAGGTTCTACAATACTTTTGAAATAACAGTTCTTTTCAAATTATTATTATTATTATTTTGCCACGGAAAAAGTCTTGCAATCATCTAAATGCATTATTCCCATGGGAAATAGTATCAGCTCTGAGAGTTCTGTTCAGATAGCCAAGTGATGTTTGAATGTAGGTAGTTGCCTTAGCAGGCTTTGTAATGGCCCTGCTTTGTTCCCAGAATGGCAGCTCTCTGACCTGCCTTCAGGGTGGCTAATATTGCCAATACGAAATCTCTTCAAGAGAATGGGTAAGAGATAAGACTTGACACATTGTACCTGAGCCCAGGGTAGCAATTTCCATTGACCATGTGCTTTGTGGAGCTCCTCATTCCTGCCATGGAAACTCTTACCACAAATTCACCAGCAATTGTGACACGCTAGAAATACTACTTGTATTTTCCTGTCTTTAAAAATTTTTTTTAAATTTAATTTAATTAATTGGCTTTTTGGGTCACACTCAGTGATGCTCAGGGGTTACTCCTGGCTCTGCACTCAGGAATTACTCCTGACTGTGCTCGGGGGACCTTATAGGATGCTGGGAATCAAACCTGGGTTGGCCGCGTGCAAGGCAAATGCCCTACCCGCTGTGCTATTGCTCCAGCCCCTAATTTATCTTAATTTATATTGTTAATGTAATTTAAATGGTTGTGGGGGTCACATCCTGGGCCCACTTCTGTAAAAGATAAAATGGCAGCAATTTAAAGGTGTTGTGAAAGGCCTCAAAACCCACCTCTGTGCCTGGGGTCTGAATAGGTTTTCAGATTTGCCACCCCACTCGGTGCAGAGACCTCTGGTGTAGGTACCAGCATTGGCACTGCTGCTCTTACTTAAAAGCTGACAGTTGTATTTTTCTGGAGAATGAGTCACCAATAGCAGAAAAATGTGCCGATGGGCCAGATAGTACAGCTATTAGGGTGCATGCCCCTGCCCACAGTCTGGCATCACTCCCATCTCCCAAGTGTTGTTAGGTACATGCCTGATGGTCTCCAGGATTCCCAGGATGGCCTGGGAAGTCCCAGCACCACAGAACCCGAACAGTATTACACGCTCAGCATTGCATGCTCAGTGCTAGCTACTGGGCACCATTTGGAAGGTGCCCATCCCAAAATAAGGTGCCTATACATTGTGGACATGTACAGCAGGTAGTGTTTGCCTTGCATGTGGCTGTCTTGGGCTCGATCTCCAGCATTACGTATGCGCCCCCCCAAGTACTGCCAGGATTAATTCCTGAGCACAGTGCCAGGAGTAAGCCCTGAGCACTGCAGGGTCTGACCCCAAAGCCCCCCAAATTAACACATACTGCAGAGGCATGGACAATGTATACACATTCTATGACAGCTTTCCGGAAAAAGTTCTGAAGAATCTGTTTTCTCTTCAGTCACCTACGACCCTTTCTCCAAGTACCTACATGCCAGTAACTCTGTGGCGTGTGGGTGGACACTGATTTCTTCTCACCACTCACCCCCATCCTTCTGGCGCCATGAAACTCACCTTTTGTTGCCTGGCTACCCACTGCTTCAGTGCTGTTGCTGAGCTCAGCCTTTTGCCTGAGCAATCGCCTTTCCTCACATTCTTGCAACATAATTTCTTCCACTGCCACTGGTCTTTCTTCTTCCTCCTCGCTCTCCGAAGCCTCCTGTACCACAGGCTCTGAAATTGGTTCTGGGGCATTCTGGATGTCCTTCTCTTCTGTGTCATCTGGACGTCGCTTGAGCATCCAGGGGTTTGGCCCAATTCCATTCTGCTGTGCCTCATTCACTGCATTGGGAACTAGGAGCTCCCCGGCTTCCTCCACGTCACACTCCTCCTCCACCTCTTCTTCCTCACCTTCGGAGGCTACCTGGAGTTTCTGTGTCAGTTCTTTGTTCTTGGCCAATTGTTCCTGCATGGCCTGGCGAGCCTGGAGGAAGGAGCCACAACAGAAGAGTGTTTGGTCATTAGTGATCACAACCTTTCCTAGCTCGTTTCTCAAAAAGCTGTCTCCTCTCTCAATTGGACTGAAGTACTTCACACTTGTGCCCACTATTGAAACTGCAAGTACACTACTGTGTTAAGAGCTATGCAACAAACAGAAGGCGTATTTTTGTTTTCTAGAAACTATATATATATATATATATATATATATATATATTTACATATATGTGTGTGTGCGTTTTCCTCCTTATTTTTGTAAAATTTAATTTCTTTACTTATCTTGGTTTTTGGCCCACAGCCAGCGATGCTCAGGGGCTACTCCTGGCTATGCACTCAGGAATTTCTCCTGGCAGTGCTTGGAGGATTTTATGGGATGCTGGGGCTGGAGCGATAGCACAGCGGTAGGGCATTTGTCTTGCACGTGACTGGCCCAGCCGACCAGGGTTCGATTCCTCCGCCCCTCTTGGAGAGCCTGGCAAGCTACCAAGAGTATCTCAACCGCAGAGCAAAGCTTGGCAAGCTACCCGTGACGTATTCGATATGCCAAACACAGTAACAAGAAATCTCACAATGGAGACGTTACTGGGCCTGCTTGAGCAAATCAATGAACAATGGGAGGACAGTGCTACAGTGCTACAGTGCTGGGAATTGAACATGGGTTGGTCGCGTGCAAGGCAAGCACCCTCCCCGCTGTACTATCACCCCAGATGCTCTTATTTTAAAGCTCCTCCCAGGCCAGGGAGTTAGCTCATAAGTTGGGGTGCAGGTTTTGCATACGAAAGGCCTGAATTCAATCTCCTGAGCACTCAGCAGGCTTAGGAAATCCCTCTCCAGAAGCTTCTCTCCTTTATGGGATGGGCTTACTTTTGATGCAGTTTCCCTTTCATCTCTCTTTTTTCCACCCTGTCACTTTCCTCTCTGCCTCAGAGATTTTCCTGTTACCTCTCTAGTTTTCTGGGTTTTCATTCCTCATGACTTTTTCCTCAACTCTGTTTCTGCTAGCATCCTTCTGGATTGATTTTCCTTTATTTCTTCAAATCCCATCTCTTCTTTCATCCCATGGTGTCTTACCTCCAGGTCATATTTGGCCATTATAGCCTTTGACTTTGCCCATTTCCCACTGTTCTGGTGCTTAAGACTCATTCTTTCCTGAAAAGAAAAGGCAGAGTGAGTGAGATGCACCTCATTTTTCTGGGGGGAAGTGGACCCCAGGGGGTTGGGTTTGAGAGCCAGCCTCACCATCATCCGGGCCTTTTCAATTTTTTCCAGTTCTTCTAAAGCTGCACCAGGATCGACCTTCTGCAGTCTCTCGAATTCTTTTAGGGTTGTCTTGGCCTTCTCTTTCTTCAGCAGTTTATGATACCTATAAGGGTATGAGGGAAAAGATTTAGCTCCAACACTGAGGCCACCTACAAGTGACCTGAGGGGTTTCCCAATGCAAGATCTAGCATGGACATTGCAGAACTAACTGGCCTGTAAAGACCCAACTCAGGACCTGAGAGAGACTGAAAGGACTCAGCCCCTGAAATCCCCAGGGGCAGCCTTCTGTAGAGCAAAGACTACCCTTTGCTTCTATAGTGCAATGAAGCCCCACTGGCCTCAACACTTAAGAGTTTTGAACTCGTTCTGCAGAATGACCCTCTGATTCTGGAAGGGCAAGAAAGTAATTAAACAGTCCTCTTCTGCAGTTAAACTCAAGAAGAGAGAGCTCTCTTGAACCAGGCAAAAACTTTGACAAGGTTCATGCAGCACAAACAAAAGACATCACACTTCTTTGGGACCTCTTGGTATGGTCCTGAGGACTTGGAATTAGCCACATCACTTATTATTATTATTATTTTGCTTTTTGGGCTACATCTGGCAATGCACAGGGCTTATTCCTAGCTCTTCACTAAGGAATTACTCCTGATGGTGCTCAGGGGACCATATGGGATGCTGGGAATCGAATCCGGGTAGGCCACGTGCAAGGCAAACACCCTACCCGCTGTGCTATCGCTCCAGCCCCAGTCACATCACTTTCTTCCATAGACCCGAAGACCATCAGGGCCTCCTTACTTTTTGCTTTTGATTTTCTTCTCTCTTCGTGCCCTGGCCTCATAGTAGGACTGCAGGGCCCGTGCCCTCTGAAGCTCTGCTCGCCGCATCTTAACCTACAACAGATGCCATTTACAGTCACTCTGGGGCTTGAGGGTCAAGGGCAGGAGAAACCACACATGCTTGAGTGTATCCAAGGGCCTACCCAACTTACCTCTTCCAGGCTCATGGCTTTCAAGGAGGCCTTTTCCATGGGTGTCAGCAAAGGATCAGTCAATGGCTGCTTGTTCTTATGAAGGAGACTAAATACTTCTTGCTCCAGGGGAGTTTTTGCCTTTGGGTGTGTATGAAACAAGTTTAAACACACATACACATAAAACAGTGGGTAAGGTTCTAGGCTTGCATGCTGACCCTGAAATGCCTATTTTCCTAAGCACCGCCAGGAGTGGTCCTTGAGCACAGAGCTGGGTGTAGGCCCTAAACATTGCTGGGGGTGATCCACTGCCCCACAGAGTCTCTAGGCATACTCCGACAGTTATCCCTCTTTAGAGTCCCATGACATTTATGTCCTGGTCAATGAAACCACAGATTGGATAGCTTTATGTCATAGTCACTGGAACTACACATTGGAGAGGACAGGTACAGCAAGAGAAGGGGGTTCTGGCAGATAAAATCTTCTTTGATTAATACATAAAACCAAGCATCATTTTCTTTTTGAACTGAAGAAGGCGGCTCTTAAGGTAAATGCTAGCAGGCCAGATAAATAGTTCTAGATTAGTTTTTAAGGACAAAATGATCCTGCGATTATGGTGTATATTCAAAACACCTATTACCGTAGACTTAACATAACTATAGTCTGCTGCTAAAAATCACTTGTATGTATTGTTGGTTCTCATTCACTACCGATGAAAAGCAACAACCATCTTTAGGAACATACTACAAGAGAGTCTATGGCAGTTTTTCCCCTGTGCTCAAAACGACATTGCCTTCAAAAGTATGACTTTCATGCAATCAGCTTGCTTCCTGAAAGCTTTACTCTAGTCCTTTTCTTTTTCATTTATTTATTATTTATTACTATTTCTGGCAGCCACACCTGACATTGCTCAGCGGTTACTACTGGCTCTGCACTCAGTACTCCTGGTACTGCTTGGGGGGACCATATGGGATGCCAGGGATTGAACCCAGGTTGACCACGCGGAAGGTATGCACTCTACCCACTGAACTATGTCTCCCTTTTCCTTTAAAAATGCTTGAGCCATACCTGGTGAGCAACCAAGGCTTCTTCATGGCTCTGCACTCAGGGATCACTCCTGGAAAGGCTCAAGGGACCATTTGGTGTGCTAGGCATCCAACCTGGGTTGGCTGTGTGCAAAGCAATCACTCCACCCACTGTGTACTATCTCTCCAGCTCCAAGCCTTAGTCCTTTTCCACAATTGGATCCAATTCCTCAGGTTCCATTGAACAAGGTATGAAAGATAGCAGCATATATGAGACAAATGGGCTGAAACAGTTACTTTACATGTGACACCAAAGACCCCTTGTGCTGGTTGACTGATATTGTGAAGATGGTCTAACTAATCAGGCTGATATGCCAGGTCTATTTTGGCAGGAAGGTGCCCTAGGCAGCAGAGCCAGTTAGAAATCTCATACACATCATAGGTGGTTTCCTCAACAGCCAAATACACCACGGTCAGTATTAAATGAACAAACATCTGGGCAAATGCACCAACACTCATCATCACACATTACACGGCACTAATGACAGAACCATAAACCTATTCTATTGAATAGTAAAGGTGCATGGTCTTCTGCTTTGAGTAGGTGCATCCATCACAGGATACAAAGTGCTTTCTATTACAATGTTGTAATCTCCCACCAATTCAATTTACAAACATTTATTGATTGCAGCTACATTCCAGGCACTCGTGCAGGGTGCTAAGAATACACAATTAAGACCATTCCTGTCCTCATAGCGCTCACAGCCTTTGAAAGGAAAGAGACATATGTACTACTGATATAACATGATCCACAGGACCCCATAGGAGCGATTATGGGCAAAGGATAATTAATTCTGACAGGAGAGTGAGCTTGGGGGCCAGAAAAAAATTTTGAACTAAGCCTTGAGGCAAAAGCACTATTCTGTAAGGAGGGAGGCAGAAGTCCAGTCAGAAGATGAGTATAAACAACAGCTCTGGTATGCTTAAAAGGAGTTGTAAGTGTAAGAGAACTTGTTGTCTAGTGTGGCTAACAATGCTAGGTGCTTCCATTTTATTTTAGAAAGTGCTGAGTCTATGAAGGATTTTAAGTGACGACCAGTTTGGGATTCTGGAAAGAAATTCTGGTGATTGTGTATGTTCAATGGTTAGATGCCAGGTGCCAAATGGATGGTGAAGATAAAACCCTGGAGAGCCCAGGTACCTGAGAACTATTAAGAGAGCATTGACAGGTTTAGCACAGTTCGGGCTGAGATTTCCAACCCAAGTGACACAAACAGGGAGTTTTGCTGATGATGGGAGTTACAGAATAAATGCAGTGGTGGGGGGGGGTGTGTGTGTGGCAGGGGAAGAGGGGGGTTCCAGGGGAAGAAAATGCCAGGTTAGTTTGAGTGTGCTAAGTTGAAGGTGCATAAGGAAAATCTAGCTGATGCCTGCTAGTCATATGAAAATGGGACTGGAGATGTGAAGTGGATGACAGTGATCTGTAACATACATAAATGAGTGGCAAAAAGTCATGAAATCTGGGTTGGAGATGTGGTACAAGGGAGGTGAGGCCGGGATGCCTGCCTTGTATGCAGCCAACTCTGGTTTGATTCCCAGCATTACAACCAAGCCCCAAAGTATGCCAGGACTGATCCCTGAGCAGAGCCGGGAGTGACTCATGAGCACAGAGACAGGGGTAAGTCATGAAGCACAGCCAGGTGTGGCCCACCCACCTAATCCTAGAAAAAAAGCACGGAATTTACAAACAAGAATAAAAAGAACTAAGGGACCCTGATTCAGTCCCTGGCACCACTTGGTCTCCCAAGCACAGATAAAAGTATCCCCTGAGCAGAGCTGGAAACAGCCCCTACACATCACCAAGCATGGCCCCCAAGGAGACTAACATTTACTGTGACTCTCCAATCAGTGGATACTTGTTACTGTCTCCAGCCATGGAATTCCACCCCCTCTTTGCGGGACATAAGGAGAAACTAAGGTTTGGGGGAGAACACTTTGGGGAATGCCAGTATAGACTGCTGATGGGGGAAAGCAGTGAGAGGATGGGAAATTTTACATTTTGCCATTTATCGTTCAGAGCTGGAACGATAGCACAGCGGGTAGGGCATTTGCCTTGCACGCGGCCCACCCAGGTTCGATTCCCAACATCCCATATGGTCCCCTGAGCACAGCCAGAAGTAATTCCTGAGTGCAGAGCCAGGAGTAACCCCTGTGCATCGCCGGGCGTGACCCCCCCCACCAAAAAATAGCACCTTGCAGTTTAACAATTGCCCTGTCATGAATGAGCTCTTTTAATTCTTCTCAACTAGAGCCTAATGGTATCGACAGAAGCCCAAACAAAACTACAGTGAAGACTTTTTAAATTCATAATCTCCTGTAATATGAGTCTATTAGTTGTCCTTGATTCGTTCCAATCTAAAGGTATAACAGGAGAACTAGGAGGTGCGAGCCAGAAAAACCTTCTCTGACTTAAGCCATTTCCTTATTTCTCTGGACCATGCTGGTAGAATTTTTCAAAAATCAAATCTTAGGGCTAGAATGATAGTACAATGGGTATGGCATTTGCCTTGCATGCGCCCAACCTGCATTAGACCCTTGGTATCCCATATAGTCACCCCAGCTCTGCTAGGAGTAATGATTGAGCACTGCTGGGTGCGGCCCCAAAACAAAAACAAAAACAAACCATACCCTACAATTTAAGAGGGCTGGAGAAATAGTACAGTGGATAGGGTACTTGCCTTGCACATGGCTGACCCTGGTTCGATCCCTAACACTATTAATGGTCCCTTGAGATTGCCAGGAGGGCAGAACTAGGAGTAAACCCTGAGCACTGCTGGGTCTGGCCCCCAAATTAAAAACAAAAAGTGAAAAACCACAAAGACAAATGGCAAAGCAGGTTCAACAGAGAGTACTCGGGGACAAAGCAATAGTACAGGGGGTGGGGCACTTGCCTCACTTGCGGCTGACCTGGGTTCGATCCACAGCACTCCATGCAGTGTCCTAGCCCCACCAGAGGTGATCCCTAAACGCAGAGCCAGGAGGATGTCCTGAGCACCACTGGGTGTGACTCCCCACAAAATGTAGATCAGTCTATCTTGCACAGGGCATTCTGGGAGAGCAGAGGCTGTCTGCAATGCAAACACTACACCTGCTATACCATCACTTACTACTGCCTTTACATCTCTTTTAACAGCGAAATCTCCACTTTTGTGCCATCTCTAAGATTGCATTGAAAAATTAAGGCATGGAACAGCCTGAAGCAGCACACTGCTACTTTTTTGGGAGGGAGGTGGTGGTGGCTGAGTCACACTTGGGTGGTACTCAGGGGCTGTTCCTGGCTCTGCACTGAGGTATGACCCACTGCAGTGCTCTGGAGATCCTATCCGGTGTTGGAGAGCAAACTGAGGTTGCCACATGCAGGGCAAGCCCCATACCCTCTGTGCGACCTCTCTGGCTATATATACTATATTAAATGTTTTGATTATTCCATTATATGAGTCACACCCGGCATTGCACAGGGGTTACTCCTGGTTCATGCTCTCAGGAATTAGTCCTGGCGGTACTCAGGGGACCATATGGGACTGGGGAATCGAACCCAGGTCGGCTGCATGCAAGGCAAATGCCCTACCTGCTGTGCTATCGCTCTAGCCCAACATACACTCTATTTTAGTGTGGTATTCATTTACAAGCAAACTTTGGGTTCTGCTGCTCATCTATCCCTGCACCGAGGCAGGCATAGCTCAGGTTGCCAAGTTCCTGGATCCGGATCAAAAAGGCGACCTGAATCGCTGTTTAAAAACCTGAGTCGGAAAAAGAAACCGTCATGCTGGCACTCAGGTCTTAACACACAACCATGGAAAGAACCAAGGGTTGCATGCTAGACTGACGATCCAAGCTGACTTCGGAGCTACTATGGCTGGCACTACCTAGATGACAGTGAATCTTGCGAGCACCCCACCCTCTGCCCTGCTTTGCTCCCTGCCTCGCCTCAACGACTACAGCTGGAAATTTTGGCTTAATACCGGACAACCTCTCACCTTCCAAAGTCTGGTCGGCTCGGGGCGGAGCTGTACTCACCTTCCAGCCACTGAACACATGTTCAATTGGAGCAAAGGCTGATGGTTCTTTGCCCAGGGGGAACACCAGCTGCTCTGCTTGTCGGTTCTTGAGGACAATGGGATCCCATTTGGACAGGGCTGTTGAGGTTTTGTTGAATGCGACTTCTCTGTGGATCTGAAATAGGCAGAATACACAAAGAGTAAGGATAGTTTAAAATGAGGCAGTAAACTCAAAGGACTGGCAGGAGACTGGGAGGCAACGGTTCATGGCCCAAGGATTAGGATGCTAGGGTAGTTCTTGTATACTTCCCAGAATACCCCTTTTCCCTCCTTGATTAGTTTTAAGCTGTTCCATGCCCTTCACAACCTCCCCTCAAATCTCAGGCTCTCCATTCTACCTTCTTTTATTACCCAATCTTTCCATTTCATCCCCTTATAAAAGCCAGTGTTCCTAGAACTTACCCGCTGAACCTCTTCTTTGCTAAGGGGTAACTCCACAGTCTTCTTTGCTTTGACTCTATTCAGTTGCTTTTTCACAGTGGCCAATGAGGATGAAGTTTTTATGGGTTCAAGCAGATCTGAAAGCACCAGCTTTTCCCCTGATCCTAGAGAAAGGTCAAACTTTCTAGTTAGACTGAAGGCAAAAATCTCATGATCGTAAAGGTTAAGGAATCCTCCATTGCAAATGCTGGCAGCCAAGCTGATGTTTGGCGAAGCAGGAATCATTCCCTTACTTCAGTCACTAGACATGAGTGATACCAGGGCCCAGACTGTTACTATTAAACAGTCACTCGTTTTTGTTCTGGTTTTTCTGCTTCTACTCTTGTCTCCAAAGTAATTCCTTGTCCCGGGAGCAAAGTTAAAACAAATAAGGGCCAGGCCTACAGCAGGTAGGGGGCTTGCCTTGTACGTAGTTGACCCAAGTTCAATCTCCAACATCTCATATGGTCCCCTGAGCATGTCCAGGAATAATCCCTGAGAACAGGTTGGAAATAAGCCCTGAGCACCACTGGGTGTGCTTCCCCCATCAAAAACCCCTATAAAAATTAAATTAAAACAAACAAATCCTAATAAACTTTAGGGCTTCTCAGTTATGTCAAGCATGTACTTCACTACTTGATCTGTCTCCTTTTTAATTCTATTGCTTCTGGTTTTTGGGATCACAACTGGTGGTGCCCAGATATCACTCCTGGCTTGGAGCTCAGGGAATCATATGTGGTACCGGGGATCAAACCAATGTAGGCTGCATGCAAGACAAGTGCTCTTGCCTAGCTAGACAAACGTAACCCTGTACTATCTCTCTAGTCTCCAATTTACACCCTTTTCAAAATCAATCACAGGGCCAGAGCAATAGCTCACCAGAGAAAGCTCTTGCCTTGCACAAGGCTGACCAGGATTCGATCCCAACATCCCATATGGTCCTGTGAACACTGTCAGGAATGATCCCTGAGCAGAACCAGGTATGGCCCCAAAACAAAACAAAAAGTCAATCACTTGTGATCCTGGTGAAACTTTTCCAGTAACACCCCTACTGTCCTTGGAATCACTGATCTGAAGGGAAGAGGCCTGTGGAACCTGATCCCCATTTGCCTCACCAAATTTGAATCACTGCCATCTCAATAATGCCCCAGTCATACTGGCCTCTCTATCCTTTAACACGCTGAACATGTTTCTTTGCCACCTTTGTCTAGAATGCCTTCTTTTATCTTTGTACGGATGATTTTCTATCATTCAGATCTCAGCTTAACTCGTGACTCTTCAGGGCCAGAGAAGAGATACTATAGGGTATAAAGGTGCTGTACTATATCGAACACTGCCAGGAGTAATACCTGAGCACAGAGCCAAGAATAAGCTCTGAGCACTGCCAGATGTGGCTAAAAATTGCCTATTCAGAGATCTTTTATAAATAGCCAATCTCAAGTAGCTCGTGACTTTGTTGCATCAGCCAGTTGTATTTATTTTTGTTTGGGGGCCACTCCCAGTGGTGCTCAGGGCTTACTCCTGGCTCTATACTCAGGAATCAATCCTGGCGGGCTCAGGGGATCATACTGGATGTCAGGGATTGAACTTGGGATGGCCACGTGCAAGACAGGCACCCTACCCATGTACTATCACTTCAGCCTCTAATTATCCTTATTATTTTTCCAGTAGCTCATTAGCATATCCCTACCTCCAGATATGTAACCTCTAAGAAGTTATGCTAAAATGTAAGCCTCATGAACTTAGATTTTACCTTCTGACTTTTATGCTATCTATATCTATATATCAGGGATCTGATATATAAGCAGTACTGTTTTATAAGTATAGAACCTGGTAGTACTGGGGGCTTACTCTTAGCTCTGCATTCAGAGACGACTCTTGGCAGGACTTAGGGGCTCATATGATATGCTGGGGGATCAAACCCAGGTTGGCTGCATGCAAGGCAAGTGCCCTATTTGCTGCATCCAAGATCGTACTTTTTTGGGGGGGTGCGTGTGCTTTGGGTCAGTTTTGGCAGTGCCCAGGGCTCCTGGATGCAAAACATATTTCTAGCGCTTTGAGTCACCTTCCTGGCCCTACACTGTATTCTGTAACATAGCCCCAGTATCCTGATACTGATACACATCAGAAATATTAGGATGAACCATAGTACATCAAGTAGGATGTTTGCCTTGCATGTGACTGGCCCAGGTTTGATTCTCAGCATCCCATATGGTCCCCTGAGTACTAACAGGAGTAATTTCCTGAGTGCAGAGCCAGGAGTCATCACTTAGCATTGCTGCTTGTGGCCCAAATATCCTCCCCCCACAAAAAAGTGTAAGACATATATATTGAGGGACCAGGCAGTTAAATGGTTAGTGCACAGACTTTGCATACAGGAAGCTTGGGTTACATCTTTGGCACCACATTTTATCTGGAGCACTGAGCCCACGAGCACTTTTTTGGGGTCACACCAGCGATGCTCAGTTAATCCTGGCTCTGCCCTCAAGAATCACTCCTGGCAGTGCTCAGGGGACCATATGGGATGCTGGGGCCTGAACCCAGGTTGGCTGTGTGCAAGGCAAACAGCCTGCCCACTGTACTATTGTTCCAGCCCCAAGAGCACATTTTGACCTCCTAAAATATATGTTGAATTGAATAAGCTTGAGAATTTAATTTTTCCACTAATGGTTACAAGACAAAAATAATTCATTCAAGCTGCCCAAATTGTAAATACGATGAAAAATACTCAGCATGGGACCAGAACAATAGTGCAGTGGATAAGGCACTTGCTTTGCATACAACTGACACAGGTTTAACGCCTGACATCCCATATGGTCTCCTGAGTCCTCCAGGAGTGATCCCTGAACACAGAACCAGGAATAAACCCTGAGCACCCTTGGATGAGACATCTTCCACAAAAAAAAAATAAAAGATTTGGCATCCAGATTTGGTTATCAGGTTGAAATCCAGAGTCTGCTACTACTTACTAATTTTAAAAAAAGTTTAACTTTTGGTTTTGGGAACACATCCAGCACTGCTCAGGGATCACACCTGTTGGGCTTGGTGGACTATACTAGGGATCGAACCCGGGTCAGCCATATGCAAGTCAAGAGCCCTACCAGCTGTACTATCAATCTAGCCCATAGATGATGTTTTTAATAGGGATGCTATCATCACTCCCCACTAAAGGAGGTAAAAGAATTCTAGGGGTTATAAATTTTTGTGTCCCTCCAAGGCGTTATGCTGTCCAACAAAACTCTTAGTTCTTAGTATCTCATTACCAGTTGATGCCAGAGTCTCGTTCGTTATCGGAATTAACCAGACAAATCGCTCCACCAACTAAGAACGGCCATGCACCACCACCCACGGAATCGAGAAAGAGCTATCAATCTGTCAATCCTGTCCGTGTCCGGGCCGGGTGAGGTTTCCCGTGTTGAAATTGTGTAGCTATATTAAGTAGCTACTGTAGAGTGATTGTTTAATGGCTGATATTATAGCGCAGCTTCCCTGATGTCTAGTGAGAGAGAATATCTGCCTGTCTAAAGTCAATGAGGGAAACAATGAAATAACAAACATTAGTTCACAAATATCACGCATGACTATGCTAGTGATAAGCAGCTCTTATTCATTCATGCTCCTTTATACCAGTGGTTCACCCAGTTCAACAGAACACTCTGACCATGTCTGGTTTTCTAGGCTTTCTTCTAGAAATGAAAGAGGACTAGAGAGATAGTGCAGAGGGTAGGGTTCTTACCTTGCAGGGGGCTGACCTGGGTTCAATTCCCATTGTCCCATATGATCTCCTGAGCACTGCCAGGAGTAACCCCTGAGCATTGCCAGGCATGGTCCAGAAACAAAACAAAAAAAAAACCCCAATAATAAATAAATAAAATAAACCCCCAAAACTTAGAAATGGAAGAAACTCAAGGACAATACAACTATCCTCCCTCTCACTCATTGGGAACTATTCTTATCGAAAACAGTCACGAGGGGAAGTGACTACCATTTTACTTTCCAGGACTCTCGAAGTTCCATGCAAAGATAATTTTCTTTGTTCAACTTACCTTTAGAATTGACATTGAACTCTGACACGTTTAGACTCGCCTCAGATCTCTCAGCCAAATTCCGCCTGAAATTAGATAAAACAGAATACAGGAACAACAAACACATTTTGCTGGGGAACAAATACTTCTCTCTTCAAACAAGGCTTCAACTTCACGTAGTTTTCTTCTGAAGTCAGATTCTGTCACAAAGCAAACAGGAAACCTGCTGCCAACTGGACCTGGTGATAGACTTAATACAGACTCATTCCTTCAAAAACAAACAGCAATGCATAGATGGCATAATGGACAAGGTACTGGAGTAAGGTTGGATTTGAAATCTCCCACATAGAAGATGAATGACGTTAAGGGAAGTCAATAAACTTTTCTAATGGAACTCGCCAATGCAGACCCAGTACTTAAAGACTTTTAAGTGAAAATGCTTGAAGGTCTTACGTTACTCCATGGAGTGAGCATTACGTAATGCTTACTCTATGCTGAACAGGGGCTTAAAATTTTCACGTCTATTAATTCGTATAAATGTAAATGTTACAACAATCCAATGAGGGAGGTTCTATAAGTAATTGAGGTATAGAGAATAAAATAAATGCCCACACAGTTTGTCTCCAACATATGTGTTCTCAATAATAACAATGACACTTATGTGTTCACTGCTTAGGTATTTAATGTTAGTTGCAGATAAATCTCAGGAAATCAACTAGTTGATTTTTTTCTGTTTTTTTTTCTCCACACTAAGCTGTGCTCAGAGGTCACTGCTGTGGGCTCAGAGGACCACATGAGGTGGCAGGGATCAAATAAGTATTCAGTAAGGCAAGGCAAGGCAAGTGGCTTCCCCACTGTATTCTCTCTCCGGTGCAAGAATCAGCTAGTATAACTTGTCCAAACAAATCCAGGAGAATGTTACCTATTCTTTCCATCAAGGGAACTGATTGCTTCCAGAAACTTTTGGTGCTTTCTTTCATCATCACTGTCCTCCTAGACACAGAAAAAGAAGCACCATTAGAACAACAAGGAAAAAAGGAAAAGACTGCATGGAAATTGAAGATTATGTAAAATTTCTTAATATTTTGGTCAGTGGGAAAATGGAGAATCAGATGAGATCTAGTATGCAAGTACTGAAACTTAGAACAGAAATAACAGAACTCGCTCATTACACAAAAAAGCAAACCACCGGGGTCAGAGCGATAGTACAGCAAGTAGGTTATTTGCCTTGCACCCGGTCAACCCTGTTCCAATCCCTGGCATCCCATATGGTCCCCTGAGCACCACCAGGAGTAATTCCTGAGAGCAGAACCAGGAGTAATCCCTGATTATCGCCAGGTGTGACCCAAAAAGACAAAAAAGGCAGTATTGTCAAGAAACAGTTCAGTTAGACAAAAGCGCTTCAAATTCCCATAGCCTTTAATATGGTATCATAAAAATTGCTTCCAGAACAAATACTCAGCAGTGTCACCACCCTATCCTACCCACAAGTGCTGCTGGCCACCCTAATTTCGAAGCAGAAGGGAAACCAGAGAAGGCAACTTAGCAGGTGTACCCTACCTCATCTTCACTGGCACTCAACGGTTTGTCTTTTGTCAAGTCTTCTAGTTCTGGCTGTTGGCTCAAGGCCAGAAATCTGTTAAGAAAGAGAAAAAGAAGTATTATCACTCACTTTCGTTGAAACAACCTTTTCATCATAACTCTACCAGGTGAGAGTAAAAGAAGCAGTGTGGACACCTTCAGGAATGTCATCAAATTTGGATTTTAGAAGCCAGGTGATATATAAAAAAATATCCAAGACTCTTCAGTGACGAGTATGGCTATTTCCTATTGACCTCTGGAAAGCTGGTAAAACTGCCAGACCTAAGGTAAAGTGTGAGAATAGTGGGGGCTGGAGAGACAGCACAGCAGGTAGGACGTTTGCCTTGCACACGGCCAACCCAGGTTCGATTCCCAGCATCCCATATGGTCCTCTGAGCACCGCCAGGAGTAACCCCTGCGCATCGCCGGTTGTGACCCAAAAAGAAAAAAAGTGTCAGAATAGTGGGGCTGGAGCGATAGCACAGCAGGTAAAGCATTTGCCTTGTAAGCAGCAGACCCAGGTTTGATGCTTAGCATCCCATATGTTCCCATGAGCATCACTAGGAGTAATTCCTGAATGCAGAGTCAGGAGTAACCTCTGAGCATTGCAGAATGTAGTCACACCTCCAAAAGAAGTAGCGGAATAACTGTTGTTAGCCCTTGAGGTAAGGCAATTTCACCATTAATATTTTTAAGCACCCTCCACATGGAAAACGTTATAGGTGCAACTAACTCAAAAGTGTTATCTTGATCATTTGTTTCCCCAGGAATGAAGTAACAGGGAAATTGGAGGAAGGTGGCTGAATAAACATTTTTCCAAGGGCTTGCACGGAAAAGCAGATGCATAAACTAAGGACTCTGGCACCCAAAAACAAATAACAGACTCCAGAGCTAACTGTGGAAACAATTGATCTATACCTAACTTGTATATTGTTCGCATGGTAACTGTTACTAAACAGATTTATATTTAGTTGCCCTTAAGGGAAACATCGAAAAGTTACTTGTAATCTTTTAAAACCCCGAACAGCAAAGACTTCTAAGCTCAGGGGAGCCTGCAACGCATGCGCTGCGGGAATTGGGGGGGGGGGGGCGCTGAAACATGCAGTCAAGAGAGTCACGTGACAAGTAAAGTGCAATTGTAACTTCATGCGAGCAGGTCAGGCCGCATTAGGATTCACAGGGATCAGGCTGGGGATAGTAGGAAGAAAAGAAATGAAATGAAAAGTTTTTTAAAAGACGGATCGCGGAAACGGTGACAAAAGGCAAGGCTTTGCCTGGGGGAACTATCCTGTCTTAAGCGCCCATACCACTTCTTAAAGGTCGGGAAGCCGGGTCCTGAAGCGATCCAACCGTCCCTACCCCGCTTTACCCCTCACCTCTGGGCAGCCCGGTTCCCCCTCATCTCAGTAGTCAGTCCTACACATGGGGCAGCAGCGGAAGCCGAAAGGAAAGCGATTTCCGTGCCGGCCGAAACGCAATTGCAGTTTCCGTCAATCACATGAACCCGTGACGTCACTTCCGCGCCGCCCCTAAATGGGATGAAATTGAAGAAATTTAGGGAGGAGCCTCCGGGAAACCCGGGAGGGAGGAGTTTTGCTTCCCCCACCCATCCACATCTCTGGTGTGCGGCTGTGAGTCCTCCCGGCTCCTAGTTTCCACGTGGCCCAAGGTGGAGGAACTGAGGGCGGGGATGCTGCAGTGTCCGAGACTTAGCCAGCCACCGCTATTCCTCCGTGATCTAAAAGGAAAAGATCTGGCCGCCGCCTGCGTTTGAAAGCGTCCCGGGTGAGCCCGCCAAGTGGCTGGTTCAAAACGTTAGCACACGCCCGTAAAGTGGCCAGCAGTGAACAAAGCAAGTTCTCTCCAGTTTCTAGGCAAAGCCTTTAACCCCGTTCCTCTTTACAGTTGCAGCTCTAGGTTTGTGTCTGCGCCTTGCAACCAAGTTTCATCCCAGAACGGGCATCCTGGCTGCAAGTCCCTTCCTTCTCAACGACTTTTAGGACGTTTTGTTGCGGGGGATCGGAGCGATCGTACAGCGAGTTAAGGCACTTGGCATGCACATGCCCGACCCGGTTCGATCATTAGCACTGCACGTGGTTGCCCGGAGCCCCGCCAGGAGTGATCTCTGAGCCGAGAGAAAGCCCTGAGCATCGCCGGGTGTGGCTCAAAAATAATACCAACAAAGAAAGGTTTGGCTTAGTTTTGGTTGGGACCACACCCGGCGATACTGCGCAGGGTGCAGGGGGCGGGTTACTCTGGGCTTGGAGTTCCAAAGTCGCTTCTTGTGATTGGCGCTCCGTGACTGATGCATGGAATGCCCCTTCCTTGTGAGCCATTTCCCTGTGCCATAAAGGCACTTTAACTTTTTTAATTTGGGGGGGGGCGGCGTCAGGCACACCCAGCAGTGCTCAGGGTCAACTCCTGCTCTTCCCTCAGAGATCACTCCTGCCGGGCTAGGGGGATTGTAAGGGGTGCCAGGGATTAAACCAGATCGGCCGAGTGCAAGGCAAACGCCCTACCCTCTATACTTCACCCCACCAAAGACATTTGTAGAGCACCAGGCCAGGAATAGTCAATAGTCCTGAAAACTGCTGGGCTTGCCCACTTAATAAAACAAAAATTTGTGAAAGAGTAACTCTGAAAAGTAATTTTCCAAAATGTTGTTAAATTTTACTTTTTCAATTTAAAAAATTTTTCAATTTAAAAAATTGAAATTCAGTTATTTTCTGTCGGCTGATATATTTAACCAAGATCTCACCAACTTTGGTCCTACTTCAGAGTGTTGGAACACTATGACTTCAGTATGAAATTTTATATCACACAGCTCAAATCCTTTGTGATATATATGGAAGAACGTCGCTTTAAAAGTTTAATAAATGTGTGCTTACAACTCACTTTCCTTTGTGGTTCTTTAGTGAATGTGAAGATGAATAAGACTTACTAATAATCTTGAAGGACTTGTAACAGAAGAAAATAAGAATACCATATTCTGTTGCATTTATCTTTGTGCGTAAGGGATGTTGAATAAAGGTTCAGTGGGGATGAAAGAAGAAAGACCTTGCATCCGGTTGAGGTGAATTTAATTTGATGAGATGGCCCTGAATGGAAACTTAAACAGAGATTGAAATAGGCAGCAGTAGGAAAAGGCACTGTATCAGGGCTGGAGGACAGTGAGCATATAATAGAGAGTGCTGTAGCTGCAGTTAGTTTTTTTTTTTTTTGATGTTATAGTAATATTTAGCATCACTTCTTGTGCCCAGGGTCGAGAGCTGCTCTGGCCTGCTGAGTCATCTCCCTGGCCCAGCAGGGGCCTTAGACCACTGCTTTCTGATGCCCAAGACACTGTGTGGGGGATGGTCTAAGTATTCCGTTTTCTTTAGTCTTTAAGGTGATTTTTGCAAACCACGTTGGAGAAGTCCTCTCTGACCCGGTGGTAGGAGGTCTTCACATTTAGATTCTGGTGTGTGGGGTTTAGAGCTTTTTTTTGCATTTCTTTAAAAGATTTTTATTTGGTTGAAAAAGGGGGCCACACCTGGCAATACTCTGTACTCAGGAATCATGGGATACTGGGAATTGAACCGTAGTCAAGGCAAGCTGGAAGCCCCCTACCTGCTATGCTATCTCTCTAGCTCCTTAAAATTAAAAAAAATGTTACTTTTAAAAAGTGACTTATAAACTTACGGACAGTTGGGGTTTAGACAACACAATATCCCAGGACCATTTTCAGCAGCAATGTCAACTTCCACCCACCAGTGTTCCCTGTTCCCCTCCCACCCCCAGCTTTGACAGGCTTCTTTTAAAATTTAGTTGTAGTTTGGAGCTTATGTTTTTGGTGTTGTTGGTCTGGCTTGGATGTCTTCTGGCAAGCTTAAACTCGGATAGGTCATGTTGGCCTAGTGCTGGAGAAAGACCGTGGAGATCTACCATGTTTCGCTGACTGTGGGTGAGAGCTTGGTGTGGTGCAGAATCTTTGTGAAGGTTGGGACTCTGTTTTCGTGTCTATAACATTGAATTTAGCCGTTTTGAGGTTTGCATAAGGTGATTTCAGCAGAAGCTGTGAACAGTAATGACAGAGTGTGTTTTCAGTAAGTGGCAACTGCTGTGCCTTCATTGGTTATCTTTGAAATTCATGGTATGATATTTTCCTTTTTAGCACTTTATAATAGATTTGAATATTACTACATCTCTTTAGTAAATGGGGTATCACATACTCCAAGAATACTGCACCACATTTGATGGGGTTTAAAGTAGGAGGCAACCAATCTTAAAGGGAAATATGTTTAATTTATATATATATATAAAACAAACATATATATACACATATATACATATATATGTAAACACACTGGGCTGGAGTGATAGCACAGTGGCTAGGGCTTTTGCCTTGCATGTGGCTGACCCAGGTTCTATTCCTCCATCCCTTTCGGAGAGCCTGGCAAGCTACCGAGAGTATCCCACCCGCACGGCAGAGTCTGGCAAGCTCCCTGTGGCATATTCGATATGCCAAACACAGTAACAACAAGTCTCACGATGGAGACATTACTGGTGCCCGCTCGAGCAAATCGATGAACAACGGGAGGACAGTGCTACAGTGCTACTTATAAGACACACCCCTTTGCTTTCTTCCCAACCATTTGGAAATAATTGTGGACTCGTACATCAATGACAGCCAAAGTTGTGCTGGGGAATGAAACCAGGTTCGGTTGCTTTTAGTGCAAGCAAGCACCTTGCTGCCTTTGCTATCTCTTGGGGCCCTCCAATATTTTTTGGTGTTCAGGCCACACCTGTCTCTGTACTTGGAATTTACTCCTCACAGTACCATACGGGGTACTGGGGATTGAACCCAGGTCAGCTGCATGCAAGGCAAACACCCTACCCACTGTACTACTGCTCTGGCCCCAACCCTCCAATATTTTTTTTCTTTTTGGGTCACACTTGGTGATGCACAGGGGTTACTCCTGGCTCTGCACTCAGGAATTAACTCCTGGCGGTGCTCAGGGGACCATATGGGATGCTGGGAATCGACCTGGATTGGCTGCATGCAAAGCAAATGCCCTACTCGAAGTGTTATCGCTCTAACCCCGCTCCAATAATTTTTAATAGGGGCCATTGCTGTCAGGGCTTGAGGGTTGCCAAGATCATCCTGATGGTGCTGGGGTAGGGGCATGAAATTCTTGGCTCTAACCCAGGACAATGCATAGTTGAGGTATGTGCGCTTCCATTTCAGCTATCTCTTGGACTAATAATTTCTGTCTTTTCCCAGCAGTTTTCAACTCTCCCATCTCTGAGTGTTTCCCATCTCTGTAACTGTTACCAACTGCCCCATGACTGGAGACCTCTGAGAGTCATGTGAGGTTCCTCTTCTCCCTTGCAATTCATCAATGTTCCTTCACATGGTAGTTTTACTTTTGAATTGCTCATACATCTCCCCACTGTTCAATCACTATTGTTTTTGTAGCAGACCCTTTCAATTTCATAGCTATTGTTTGGTTTGGGTTATTGCTTTTTGTTTATTTTTTAGGCCACACCCTTCGTTGGTTAGGACTTACTCCTGGCAGGCTCAGGGGAACATATGGGATACTAGTGAGCCCAGGTTGGCTACATGCAAGGCAAGCTGCCCTATTCTTTGTACTATTGTTCTGGCCCTGGTTTTGATGGTTGCTTATACAGGGAAGGAAAAATTTTGAATACTAGCTGAGGAACACTGGTTTTTAATTAGACCCTAGATTTGAATCTTTTCTCTGCTTTATAATTTGTAAGTTACTTAACCTTTGTGCCTTTGTTTCCTTTGTCTTTTCTTTTTATTATTATTTTGTTTGGGGGTCACACCTGGTGGTGCTCAGGGGACTACATGTAGTGCTGGGGATCAAATCCAGGTCAGCTGCATGTAAAGCAAATGCATTAACCTCTGTACCATTTCTTCCTCCCAGTTATAACACTTATTTTTGTGGGGGGTTGCCACACCTGGTGGTGCTCAGGGCTTTCTCCTGGGTTTGTGCTCAGAGATCACTCTGGGTGGGGCTTGGGAGTGCCCTTTAGGGTGCTGGAGATTGAACCCCATTGTCCACGTGCAAGGCAAGAGCCCTATCTGCTATACTATTTCTTCAGCCTCCAGTTATAATTTAAACTTATGTTTTATTTTTAGATATTTTGCTTTTGGGCTACACCTGTACTACTACTACTGTACTACTGCTCTGGCCCCAACCCTCCAATATTTTGGTGCTCAGGGATTATTCCTGACTCTGCACTTGTGGATCACTCCTGGTTGGCTAGGAGGAATCCATATAGAGTGGCAGGGATGGAACCTGGGACCACAGCATGTACAGCAAACACCCTATCCTTGTACTATATCTCCAGCCCCGAAACTTATTTTTGAAATAAGGAAGCAAAATATCTTCCATAAGCTTTTTCAAAGTTGTTTTGGCTGGGGCTAGAGAAATAGTACAGTGGGTAGGGTGCTTGCCTTGCACATGACTGGTCTGGGTTCAATCCCCAGCATCCTATATGGTCTCCCAAGCACCACCAGAGT